GGAAGATTTAGATACAAATAAACATTGATTGATTGATATCTCTCATTGATATCGCTCCATTAATGTTGGATAGAAATTATTTATTAAATCAATAGTAAAGTCATATTTAAATGGTTATTATTATGTACTTAAGCCGTAGAGTTTTGGCCTAGCTTTCATGCTATGATTTATGCTATGATTCAAGAAGGTACAAATCTGGATAGCAGAAAATAAAAATATTTTCGAGTTCCATCATTTATACATGCATCAAATGATTTTAGAACATTTATTCGTAAATGCATTAGATGAATTGCTTAACAATTTCTTACACTATTTTGATAGTAATAAGTTCTTGGAATTTTATATCAAAATATAAACATTAAATGTAAGGTTTATAGAAGATTCTTAATATTCAAAGTACTAAGAAACGACTTTTATCGAAACCATATCCCATTTTCCTCCTGTGTAAACCCTGTGGACCACTGCGGTACCCTGTGGGGTCGTGACTGTTGGCGGTCGCCTCACACGAGGCTCTCTGGTCCGGAGTCTGCAGGAGCTTGGAAGCAGGGAGCCGGAGCAGGGAGCAGGAGCAGGAGCAGGAGCATCGATGCAGCTGGTCGAAATATGGAAATGAGCTGCGGCTGAGATCGAAAGCTCACGTAAGTGACGGCCCACCGAGGTGGCCCTATGTATTATATATACGAATCTGGGATCTGCACGCGATCTGAGACTGGTCTAAGGTCTCCATGGTAAAAGCAGTCCTGACAGTCGTTGGAATTTATGGCCTTCCATTAAATGCACTCTTATCGGGGCCTGGGACAACTTACTATAGAACTGGGTCAAGTTTATCGAACTATACGTGGCTGAGCATTTATCTATTAACAAACTTTATTTTCTGCTTTCCGTTTCTACTCCTCCCCCCAGCAACCCCATTTTATGGCCATGTTTATCAGCTTTTCCTATGATAATTCCGGCCTTGTGGCTGCGCGTGGCATCGCAGTAATTGCGGAATTTCCCCCGCTTGTAAATTGCTCCATTTGCCGGACTCGGGCATTCCGTATTCCATTTTGCTATTGTTTTTTTTTTACTTTGGGAAATTTTTGTAATAATTTTTCTCGTTTGTGGCCTGTTTTTATGTGGGTTATTTTGTCGGCTTGGCTTTTATGCATATATTTTATTTATGCATGAAATTGTTCGTCTTTAGTCTCCACACGCATTTTAGCGAATTTGTTTGTTCGTTTAGCGAAAATAGCGAAAAAATTCAAGGGGAATTTACTACCCGAATGGAATATTTTGGTGAGTTTTGAGGAAGTGCAAAAAGGGGAATAAAGGAAATCAAATCAAATATAAATAATCGGGAAATGTATTTAACGAGCAGAATTATAAATACTTGTTTAATCAGTTTGTTTGTGATGATTTGTTTTGAATTATCAAGATCAAGTTCTATTTATATTAATAGCTTTTAATTGTATTACAGAACTTTATTTTGCATTAGCAGTTGAAATTTCTGGAACATATCCCTTTATTTTAAAATGATTATAATAATAATTTCCATAAGAAATCCCAAGTCATGGTACTCAAGATAATTCTAATCAATTTTAAAAAACCAAGACATCTTTGTGATGTTAGGTTTTTCAATCCATTAAACCTCTTAAGAAGTACAAGGCAAGTTTAATAAGTTTGTTTTTTTATATACTCCACATTTCAAAAGTTCATTTGTTCAAGACACTTCCATCCCGATTAGAGAAGCAATGACATCACAGTGTCATCAATGCTATCTGGAACCTTGAAAGGAAACGGAACCCATCGACGACCTTATATAGTATCTGATATGGAGGGTCTCTACCATCTACCGACGTCATAAGCAATAACAATTAACTGTTAAGCGACCCTCGGAGATATCAACACCACTTCACACCGAAAGATACAAAAACTGTTAACTGAATATAAGGCAACTCAGGAATCGGGCCTCTATATACATACATGTATATGAATTTCGGGGCGTTAAAATTGACTACGTAAATTGCGAAACAAAACCAGAAGAAAAAGGAGGACGGTGGAGAGATCCTCCTTGAAGAGCGGCGAACGTGCAGCGACTTCACACTTTCAAAGTAATTTTAACACATTTCAATTAAAAAGGATGGGGCAAGCGGGGCAACATGTAAAATTTAATTAAAAACCCTTTAAGGATAACCGAACACGCCGAGTGAGAGCACGTAACGCCCGGTTATTTGGTGTGGCAGCCTTAATTGAAGGTGCCCCCTGAGCGGATCCCCCAAACCCAAACCGAAACCCATCCCAAGCCCAAACCCATCCTCCATGTGGAAATGCTATTAACGGGCTGTCATAACGAGCGGGACGAGCCACAGGACTGGAGTGGTGTTATTGTTTTCGATTTACGACGATCGTAAATCAATAGCTTAATTGATAACTTGACGCTATTTACGATGACACAAATTAGAATTTGTGCGGACAGTTTATGGACACGAAGTCAGCTGCTGCTTTCGGGTGTTAATCGAGCCGACTTTTCACGTCGTTGTGGGTCGAAATTTTTCCACACTCTTGAAAGCTTTCCTACTGCCACAGCGCGATGTTTTCTTTGGTCACGTTTTCGAATCATAGCCGCGGAAGATTTTCTGATTTTTTTCGGACGTCACCATTATCATTATCAGGCGGCGTTGCCAAGCAATCAGCGCAATCACGCATTTGATGTCATAAATTGGCTTTATCAGAGATTTAACACCCACCACAATGGGAGCGTCGAAAAACTCGGCCGACGATCACGATCACGGAGCGATCGCCTGCAACACGTGATACGCTCCTCGCAATCCCCGGCTGAAGGTCGCGTGACAATAACAACAACAAATAGCCCAGTGAATACGGTCCGGGATCTGGACTCCCGGACTACCAGTGTCCCCCAGTCGCTGGGACAGACGGCCAGTCATCGCCGGATAATGATAGACGGTCGGTCCGGCGATAAGGCCCCCGTCGGTCGCAAAAACAACTGGCACCACAGCAGCGCGCTTTTTATAGGGACCAATCAACGATCAGCGGTACGACGTCTCACTTGCGAGCGGCGTGCGCGGCGGTGATAAGACCGGCCCCAAAAAATGTGAAAAATATAACTGGGATGGGATCGGATGGAATGGAATGGGATGGGATGGGGGCCCATCCGCATACACTGACCTCTGATGGGGTCGTCTTGGTTTAACAGATGGTATTTCGGGGGCATCAAAGTACAAGTACTTGCATGGTTCGCTTATAAAGTTACTGATAAAGATGCTTGCAACAGTCAAAGCGAGCTGGGCATTGCAGAAATTGTATATTTTACTACCTATGTATTAAAAATATTGTATCTGTTACAACTTATGTATTTAAAGTTGTAATATCTTCATTGTAAGTTAGATCTGTAACGATATAAAGCTATCAAATATATCTCTTGTTGGGAAAAGATCATTCTGCAGCCAATACAGTTGAACTATGTAATTGAAAACCCTTTAACTTCGGAATTGAATTTAAAATTGCATACTTTGGACGAATTTTTCTAAGAGTGCATCGTAAAATATATTACATTTCATAAAAATGGTTCAGTTTTGAAATTCTTTCAAAGTCACCCCAAGGTAAAAGCATTTTCGTTATGAGCAGAACCGTCGGTATTCTTCCTCCGAAAGGTTTTATCATGTAAATAAATATTGTTTTAAATATAAATAAATAATACAAAAAAATTCAAAAGTTCTTTCACATATTTTAATTTAACTATATCTAATGTTTCATTTTTAAATATTCTAAAATACATTTGGAAGAACTCATTCTTTTGCCTTCCATAGAGATATTCAAATAAAATTAAATTTTATTGGATATAACCGAAATATTATATGTATAATACAAGTACAAATTTTATAATAGAAGTAATTATTAACAATATAAAGTATGAAATTAATATTTTATATAATACTTCATTACTAAAGTTCAAGTACTTGAAATCGAATAAACATTTTACATTTAAGTAAAGTTTCCAATATTTTACCTATTGAAATTCATATCTAAAATTTTGTCTTTAAGTTAGATAACTTTTAAAAACAACTCCGATATAACGTTATATATTTTATTATTTTGTTTTTAATGTTATATTCAACATTTATGGGTAGAAAAACACCGAAAAGATAGCTAATCTTCGTGGTAGGAAGTCAGTGAGAGTATTTTCGCTTCGTGTTATCAATAAACAAGACAAAATTCAGTTCATTTGATGAACGTAACGTAACAAAACGAAATGAAATGAACAAAGCCAACAAGCGCGCTAACGAAACAAACAAACAAATAATAAAATTTGAAATGCCATGGAAATTTCCTCGAAGGCAAAAGAATATTGCCCAAGAGAAATCGGCGCGCCAATCGAATGCGCTGCTCAGATTACAGATTCTCAAAGTTACGTACGGTTATATAGAATATATATGTACGTACGTATTCCCTACATATATCTCCATATAATCTCCGGCGTGTCCAGATGTGAGCGATGTCACGGTTTCCATGGAGCACCGAGTTCCGACATTCCTGCTACGGCAACACGGCTACCGTTCGAAAGAGTCGTGGAGATCGAACCAGTTTCGGATCATCAGCTTGAGCAGCCTGTATTTGTTTTTATAATACCATTGACGTCAAACGAACGGGGCATCAAAACAATTAAAATTGAATTAGAAAAGTCTCGCGACGTTGTCCCCACGACATCTGGCCGCAAGCCGGGACTAGTCTGGCCTATGCTAATTCACCGCAAATATATGTTAGCCATGGCCATGCAATATTTATAAGGCCGAGAATCTGCCTCGAAAATACCTGACCGGTGTTCTGTTTCCTCTGACATATATTATCCAAGTCTCATAAATATTTATGTGCCTCTGACGGTTCTTTTGGGTGCACTGAGAGTTTGCTAAACGGAAAGTTCCCCAAGTATGCTGAGTACATATGAAAGTGATCATCATAATAACCATGGTTTTAATAGTTCAAAGGGATGAGTATGTCTCGGCTCTGTTCCTTCAGTCCAAGTAAGTATGCCTTAACTGTCACTGAAACCTTGCTGTCGAATAAGATACAGATCATAAAGTTTTTCCGCAGTGATTTGAATCAACATAGTGAGTAGTAACTAAAATTAAGCACAAATAATCTTATTATTTTATGTAATATTCCATCCAAACTTTATAGGTTTCCTACCAGAACGTCAAGATGTCTCTTAATCTGCAGTATGAAAGCATTGGTAAGAATTTTGTACAACAATACTACGCCATGTTCGATGATCCGGCAAATCGTGCCAATATGGGTAACTTTTACAATCCAACCGATTCATTTATGACATTTGAGGGCCATCAAATACAAGGAGCCGCCAAGATTTTAGAGAAAGTTCAGAGCTTGAGGTTTCAGAAGATTAGACATATTGTGACCACAGTGGATTCGCAGCCAACCCTTGATGGAGGTGTCCTTATAAATGTCCTGGGAAGACTCCAGTGCGATGAGGATCCACCACATGCCTTTTCTCAGGTGTTTGTGCTAAAAGCCAATGCCGGCAGTTACTTTGTGGGTCACGAAATCTTTCGACTTAACATTCACGATTCTGCCCAAGTATTCTGATGACAAAAATAATATTTATATATGATTTATCTACACAATATTCAAGCCGTACTGGAAATGTTCCTGAAGCCTTAAGATTAAATGAATATTTTGAAGTGCTTTCTCGGATTTTGGATTCGCCACTCTCCACTGGGTCAGCATAGAATTCCCCCCAAACATTCCTCCAAGTCATCGTTACTAAGCCTCAAAATCCAAATTTCTTACGAATTTATTCATTCATTTCTGTAAAACTTCAAATTATTTTTTGTGCATATTAATAAACAAAAAATATTCGTTCTCATATATAAGAACTCTTAAATATATACATTTATATATCTGTGTCTTAGCACAGCTCGGAGCGAGCCCCATAAATTTAATTCAAAACTCGCATCAAAACAACTCATCAACTCCGCCCAACAGCATTTCTCGAAAGATATATGTTATAAAGAACGAAAAGTCAGCCTTAAGACCCGAGGATATATGTTTGGTTGGTTGTCCAACGCATATTAAAATGCGGCGACGAGAACCAGTTGAAAAATTAGACATCAAAAGTTTTCTGGTTTATGGGGAATGTCGCGTGAAAAGAAATATATATACTATACACTTATGCAAAATAAATCTCGCCGAAGAGATATTTTTGAAAAGACACATTGTGCGCCAAAGAATACAAAATAATAATAATAAAAAGGAAAAGAATTATTTAAAACTCGTTTGGCTGGAGCGGCCTTTATTATTATTAATCTTAATGAATGTTAAACACTTTTATCAGAGGAATAAACCGGCAGCGGGCGGTGACTGGGTGATGGAGGGCGTGGCAGAGAGCAAGGGGCGGTGTACAGCACGCGTCATTTTCAAATGTCTTTTGATTACTTAGGCACTTGGAGAAAATAATGGCAATAAGGAGAGACAGAAAATATAAGTTTTCCAAAACAAACTCCAAGAGAAGTTTTATTATAAGATATATTTTAAAATCAGAGAATTGGTTTTTATTAATTTATGAAATAAATAAATAAACTAAAAATAAGTTTAGTTTTTCTTCATGTACATTTCAATTTAAATCTTAACTTTGGTTACTGTGTTCCGTTGAAGTGTTTTCGTAACGTTTTTTGTATTTCGTGGTATAAATTTACTGTGTTTTTTTGTGGCCATCGCATTTACGTCAGAGGCTGGGCAGGTGGGGTTAAGGTGGAGTCTCTCTACTTCAGTAAATATATTCCTACCTATAGTATAGTGTATATAACCGATCTCTAGCCAACTGTCTCCGTTCCGCTGCCTTGCTTTGCTTCGCTTTTCATTGAATCCCATTTTGCACCCTTCATATCGGTCGATCTGTCAATATTTGCAAGTCACTTTCTTGTTTGCCCTGCAAAAAAATAAATAAATAAAATACAAAAAACATATATACACCCATTAAGTAAGGAAAGTAAGGCTGAGAGAAACAGATCCCCTGACTTGTCCGAGAATCATTGACGCGAAAAAGGCAAAACCCCGGTCAATATTTGTGCTCGAGTGTTGGGTGTGACATTACTCATACGCACCGTTGGCACGTCTGGCCGCATTAGAACCAGCATTCAGCTAATTAGCTGCCTTTCGACTGCCCAAACAGCGGACTTTGGCAAACAGTTGAGGCATTTTCCAGTTGTTTGCCCAACGATCGCACCGATCGGTAGTTTGAAAGTAGTTCGCACCTGCCCCGTTCGCCGGCCAGGTAACATTGGAATTTACAGCATGGAAATCAAGGCTGCTGCACGGATGTATTTACATAAATTGCCTCAGTCTGGTCTGGGGATCGCATCTCAGTTCCGCCCCTTCATCCACGATCCTCTCGCTCGATCTCTGAGCCCTGCCTGGGCATTGTGTATTGAGTTGTTATGGCCAACGCCTTTGTTTGTCCTGCACCATCTTTGTTGTAGTTGTTGCCAGCATCGTGTGCGGCAGCTCCTGTTGTTGCTTTTGGCCCGAGAGCCGGTTGGGCCAAAATAAACACTCTGGACCCAGAGACACCGACTGACCCTCCACAGGGGAGTACAGTGGTTAAGATACACTTTATTTAGAATAACATATATTAAGCAAGAATGTAAAGAGATGTATTTATTAATACTAGTATCTAATGTCTTATTGATTAATTATACATTTTATAAGTTTCAGAATGGATAGTGGTGATTTTTGACACTTTTGAATCACTGTAACTCCCTCCGCCATTGCTGCCGAGTGCCTTTGTGTTTCGGATCTCGGACCGGTGCAGAAAATTGTTCAATTACACACAGAGAGAGACCCTGGACAAGGGCTACTTGGGCTGCTGTGGTTGCCACATCCCGACCAGCAAGATTTGCATTTGCAGCGAATCGAAGCGCTGTTGCAAGATGCGAGCCCCTTGCAGCTCATAATTGCTTGCGACTTGATGCACGTTAAGCAAGTTAACACCCAAGTGTAGCAGCTGCTGCTCCCGATGCAACCTTAATTATTTTCGGAGCGAACGGGACGGATATTGATGGCCTGTGAGTAGGATAGAGACATCTTTGAGTAATGGCCGCTGAAATGCCTTAAATTGGCCATCGATTTCACGGGGCCAGAGACAGCGTCACCGAAACTGGAAAGAGTTGAAGGAGAAAATGGCCACCAGGTGAGCTTAAATTTTCCATCACTCAAGGGGAGGCGATAAGACCTGGTAACCGTTCACGGTCCCCTTGGCAATCACTAGATACCAAAATATAGTATTAGTTATAGTATAGTTCTGCTGCATAGTTACTGCGTTAATCAATTAGCAGATTGTCAGAACAATCAGTTGAGTGGCTTAGGCAAGGGTATGGTTTACATGGCAACAGCCAATCGATAGATAGATTGGTCTTCACAAGGTAAATAAAGAATATTAGTAGTGGGATTATTTATTTAATTACTGTTAAATTAAAACAAATACAGGATATTTAAAAGTTGGCTATCAGGGATATGATAAGAATTATGCAAATATAAGTAATGAGCTCATGAAATGAAGGATTTGTGTTCTGTTATTATTTAATATATTATTATGTATTGTTAAGTACTCTTTGAGTAATCAAATTTGTAGTATTTTTAGGCTCTTTATTATATGTATTATATAATATTGTTATACATATATTATAAATATTATAATTTATATATTATATTATATTTGTTTAATTCACGGTTAAAGCTTAATGTTTGTATCCTAGTCAAGCTCTTTTTTAGTTGAAAGGGATTATGTTTTTATTTATAAATATACCTAAAATATTAATGCTTGTATTTTTTGCTATCTTATGTTACATACATTATCTTACATTTGCATACAGAAAATTATATTATTTCAGTTGAATTGTTACACTTGAGTTTTAGATAGACAAAAATTTCCATAATTACCAAGTACTTAAGGAAGTTAAATGGTTTTTAAAAGGCTTATATTAAATAAAGTTATTAAACATAATATGACTTATACCTGAAATAGATCAGGGTCATTCATAAGTAATTAAACTTTTACCTAAGTACATTTAAACTAACCTTTAAATGGGCTTGCCTAGTTAATACTTTGCATTGTTGTGGTAATGAATTATTTGGCTTACTCACCCATAGACCTTGTAACCCATAGAATGTAATGGAATTTTTTTCTGTGTAGATACACCCTCCAATCGATCGATCTATCGAACGATCGTGTCAGCCTTGCCGTAGCTAATATTGACTGGAACCGTCTAATTATAGACCCCAGTCCCGGCTCAGACGGCTTACGGCCTACGTGATTGTGTGACTGTGTGTCACACGACCCACCGCCAGACCCATCCTCAGTCGCAGTCCCAGTCCCAGATGCAGTGCAGCACCCCCATCTCCCCGCTCCGGAATGGGGCGTCGGGTGGTGATAAGGAGAACCACTCGACATAGCTCGCAGTGAGCACAACAAAATAATTATTGATAAAAGCTACGGCTCTGCGAGAACTTGTACATATAGGTGTACGTATATTTGTCTGTATGTGCAAACAACAGAGCGAAAACAAAAAAACTACAACAATTCATGGAAAATTTTTTCAACAACTCGCAGTTCATTGCTTTCCCCCCAAATGGAGGTGGTGGTGGGTGTTATTTTTTTCAGACGGTGTGTGCAGGTGTGAGGTGTGCGGGGTGCCGAAGGTAGGGTTGTGTAGGGCGGTGTAAAAATAGCATTTCGTTGAGCGGCGCATTCGTCATGGCACACGCAAAGAGTCATGCCCCTGCCTTGCTACCTAGATATAATCTATTTACGTGTTCCTCGCTTATCGCCAAGCAAATATATATATATAAACGGTAGATAAGGGCGGCGCTGACGTTCCCTCCCCCGATGAAACTATACAGTATACTATATACTATATATATATAAATGACCGTGGCGAGCACGGGTTTTGGATCTCATGATAAGACGATGGCCGCGGGGCAGACAGATCCCGGCGTGGGATCGGGGACGGGGAGCAGTCACGCTCCTGGCGATAAGAGTTCCCGGGGGACTTGGTCAATTCCCCAAGTGTTATTGACTCGACAACGACGACGACGACGACGACGCCGACGAGTGCCACGAAATAACCCGGACCGGCATTCAAGTGGGCTCGACTTCCAAAGATAAACGGAATCGTATCGGTTTGGAGGGGTGTCAGGGAAGTGTGTCAATACGGTGACCAGCCGGGTCTACAGAAGTCAGCGGCTAGATCGATTTCCAGATAGCACTCTTCTAGGTGATAAGGACTATCTTGGAATGAAATCACCGCACTGCAGGTTGAACCCAAAATGTATCGACTTTTAAGCATTGGCTTAAAAGTTGAGTTTGTTTTTAGCTGAAAACTAAGGTTAATATCGCTTGCACAAGACTTATTTTTGGCACAAACAAGAGAATGAGATTCATACAACAAATTAGAGATGTAACTAGGAATTTGTTGATACTTCAAACCAATAGATATTAAGGATAAATAAATAAAAATAAATAGTTTAATTAAATTGAGTGCCCTTGCATTTAAGAAATAAAATTCAGGACTTCTGCTCAAATAAACTTATAAACTAGATTAATTAGTGAAATAAAGTGTATTTAATTATACAGCAAAGTCAGTTTCAAGGGGTATGCCTTAAAAATACACGGATAATCCTTTAAAACTTGCTAAATAATCATTTCAATCATTTTATTAGACAAAGAAATACTTAATACCAAATAAAAATAATTATATATACTATGATTTGAGCTTCTGGACTTTATAAGCAGGTGCAACATTTTCTAAATATTCATATTTAAATATGTTAT